AGACCAGGTTTTTTCTTCTTCTTAGTTTTGGATCTTCCCTAAATGTGCTTGATTTTGTGTAATGCTTTTAACATTTTGATCTATCTAATCCTAAATGGGTTTCAATTTTCGGGAAATGTTGGAACATTTATTGGCCTTAAGGTCTAAAGCTAAGATGGAGTACTAGTTTAATGAATTACTCAATTGAATTCTGAATTTCGTTTTTTTTTGTTTGTTATGAAGATAGTTAGAACAGAACTATGTACTTGATTCGATACTATATGCTCGGTTCAAGTTTGTTTATGGTTCTCTTTTAATTTGATGTATTCTGTATCTGAAGGTTCTTGTGGAAGGAAAAGCTAAATCAAGAGCTGCTATTCTCAATAGACCTTCTTCTCTCAATGCTCTCTCTGCGCCTATGGTATTGTCTTTACTAGTAATTCATCTTCGTGGATTTGAAGTTCGGTTTCTTGAGCTCATTAGTTTTTTAGTTTTGCTTCAAAATTTGTTTGTCTTTTTAGGTAGGTCGGTTAAACAGGCTGTACGAATCATGGGAAGAGAACCCAGCTATTTCGTTTGTTTTGATGAAGGTACGGTACTCTCTAGCTTCACTTACGAGATTTGTTGCTCTTCCTAGGTAGATCACGTGTCATTATGATGCATGGTTATGCTAAAATCTCCCTTGACTAAGCTACTGTTTCGATTTTTCCTGAAGGGTAGCGGCAAAACGTTCTGTTCTGGTTCAGATGCCTTGCCTCTTTATCACTCGATCAATGAAGGTCCCATCTCTTTGTATTAGTTTCCATTTTAAATACTTGGAAAGGTCTTAGGTTCAGCGAAGGTCATTGCATAGCTTGAAGTTACTGAGAAGAATCCTGATGTAATGCCACTTTTCCATTGCACAGGGAATACTGAAGAATGTAAACACTTCTTTGAGAACTTGTACAAGTTTGTATACCTCCAAGGAACATATTTGAAACCAAATGTGAGATTCCTAGACCTTCTTTCAATGCTATGTGTTAATACTTTCCATTGACCACAAGTGACTAGAAAAGGAGTGACTTACTTATTTTCTCCGCTCAGGAATATGCTAAGTTGGTATCGTAGATGAGATGCAAGTGTTGAAATATTTTGAACTTTATTGTCTGCTCTTATACCTCAAGACTTTTGTCTTACTGCAGATAGCTATAATTGATGGTTTCACCATGGGTTGTGGTGGTGGAATTTCAATTCCAGGGATGTTTCGCGTGGCAACAAATAAAACAGTATGTCGTTCGCTTTATTATTCGAATTGCTGATTTTTTACTTCTAGTGGACGCTGAATTGAGTGGTTGCATAGGATTCTTTAGTCTCTTAAGACAAGAATTTATATCTCTTATTTCATGTGTGACACCGTTTTTCTCTGTACATCAAATACTCTGTTGACTTAGTCATTTATCACTACCACTTTCTTCTTTTTATTCAAAACTGTTTCTCCTTTTGTACCTTGGAATTTTTAGTGGTTATGGAGTTCTGACCAACCCTATATGTGCAGGTGTTGGCCCATCCAGAAGTCCAAATTGGTTTTCATCCTGATGCGGGAGCATCCTATTACCTTTCACGTCTTCCTGGTTATTTAGGTGAACTTCACCTTTGGTTGATCCTCTTCACTAAATTCATATTCTAGGCATAAAGAAAATGATAGTCCAAATAATAGCTTTGAATGTGATTGACATACAATTATTTCAATTGCAATGTTTCTGCGCTTCTTAAGCGGGTTTTTTGCTTTCTTGTACAGGGGAATACTTGGCTTTAACAGGCCAGAAGCTTAATGGTGTCGAAATGATAGCATGTGGCCTTGCCACCCACTATTGCTTAAACGCGGTTCGATGCATTTTGCTTACCTTCTCCCATGTTTTTTTTACCTCCTAAGCACATTCCTTATATTAGTTGTTATGGCAGAGACTTGAGATGATCGAAGAGAGGATTGGTAAACTGTTGAGCGATGATCCTGCCGTCATTGAGGATTCTCTTGCTCAATATGGTGATCTTGTTTATCCTGACAGTAGCAGTATACTTCACAAGTAAATCTTTTACCTTGTTTCCATATCTCAAAATCTCTTTGAACTACCTAGGAGGGTGTAACCAGGAAATTCTTTTGTCAGGATTGAGATGATTGATAACTATTTTGGGCTTGATACGGTTGAAGAAATCATTGAGGCTATGGTGAGAGATCTTTGCCTAGCATAAGCATGATATATTTCAATTTGAGGTCTATTTCTTTGATTTGATCTGAGAATTCTGTCATGTTCTAAGCTTTACTGTTTAATCGTGGCTCAGGAAAATGAGGCTGCTGATTCTTGCAATGACTGGTGCAAGAAAACTCTCAAACAAATCAAAGAAGCTTCTCCTTTGAGCTTAAAGATTACTTTACAATCTGTGAGTCCTCTTAGTTTCTTCTCTTCTCCTTTCTCAATAAAGCATTTAATTTTCTGACTCTGGGGGCTTCTTCTCTTCTTAGATACGGGAAGGTAGATTCCAAACGCTTGATCAATGTCTCACACGTGAGTATCGTATATCTCTTTGTGGAGTCTCAAAGACCGTATCTGGCGACTTCTGTGAGGTAAAAATACAATCATCAATTTCTCAATCAAAGTTTATCTTCATATACTGAAAAACACTTGTTGTTGACAGGGTATTCGAGCCCGTTTGGTGGACAAAGACTTTGCTCCAAAGGTGCATAAACCTTAAACAAACAAATCAGCTTTAAAACTATACGTTTGCAACACGTTTTGGTTATGGTCATATTCCAGACTTTACTTTCTGACACTTTCTGGTTTTTCTCCCCCAAAATTTGCAGTGGGATCCTCCGCGCCTAGAAGACGTTAGCAAAGACATGGTGGATTGCTACTTTTCGCCAGCCACAGATACTGATGGTTCAGATTCTGAGCTGAAGCTTCCAACAGCTCAACGAGAGCCTTACTTCTGAGGAAACTATTGATACTCGTTGCCTGCAATAAAGAATTCTACCGGTCAATGCTCAAATGAGATCCCTGTGATGACCTTCTTTTGCTGTTAAACTGTGTTTTCTTTCCTCTCTCGCTCGAACGTTTTATGTCTTAGATAGGAGTGACAAGATTTCAACTGTCTTGTAAGTTTGTTTATTCATCTTGTGTGACTGGGAGTATCCCATTAAAATGTTGGTTAGGCCAAAATGTAGAATTTAAAAGAAGCTTTGATGGATACAGATACATTGCAATTCCTACTATGGATAGCGAATTTAATGTGATATGTATGACATGCACAACACACAGACAGTGGCAACTACTCACTAAAAGCAAACTTCACACAAACGCTAAAGAACTCTTCAGACAAATACTTTAACAGCAAAGCTAGACACTGTCACTCAAAGATTCTTCATCTAGAAAAACTGACGCGGTCTTTTGAACATGCTTTAAAAGATCTTGGAACAGATTGATCTGAACATGTTGTAGAAGATTCCGGGTCGCACCATTCTAGTCCAGCTCGAGAAGATTCAGGAACACGCTGAGCAAGAAGGTGGGCTGCATCTTTCCACCATGAAACCTCGGTATCTTTCTCCTGTAGTCTGCGCTCAACACGACTCAGAGCGGTTTCAAGCTTCAGTAACTCTTCTTGTTGCCTTGTCTCTAGTAATTCATGCAGTTTTTTCTCTAGTTCGTACGGACACACTCCATATCTCTCATCTGTCACCATCTCTGGTTTTGAGACCTCACATTCATTGTCCTACAAACACCCAAAGAATTACGAGTCTGAGAAATCAAGAGCTGTTTCATAATTGCTTAAACAGTACAGAGCCAATGTAAAGTTAAAAAAGTGGTTTGTGTCATACTTTTAGTTTGCGTTGCCTTTGAATCTGATACTTTGTATGTCTCTCCTCTGCTTTTTCATCCAGACGTAAACTACCTTCCTCAACCTGGAGTTTTGAACTGCGGTCAGCTCCTCGATGGTAATCCTCTGGTTTTGAGACCTCACATTCTGTGTTCTCCTCTTGAAGAACACTTGTTAATGAGTCTTGGAAAATGGATGATGCCAAATTCGAGATGACTTGAGGAGAAAACTGGTAACCGCTTGGTTCATTCGCATATGCATCGTTCAAAGACATAGGTGGATTCTCCTGTAATTCTTTCTTCTGTAATTCTTCTTTTGCATTTAGAAGAAGCATCTCCATTTCAATTCGCAAGTTTGCCATTTTATCAAGCTCAGTTTTACTTGCAACAACAAGATACAGCAAGAAAGAGCCAATCCCCATTTCCAAAGGTGCTTCTCTGCTTCCTGATTCTGCACAGATAAAACAGAGCTTCAAAAACTTGTATACCTTAAGAGAAAAAGGGAATCCTTTTTCAAGTTCTTGCTAATTACGTGCGGTGCGAAAACACTAGGCATTCCCAGAGAATCAAAACAGTAGGAGAAGGAAAAAAATACAAACTTCTCACCAAATCTATGAGTCTCCAGCTTTCCTTCCAACGGTCTACTCTCGTTCAGGCGTTTCGTCGAACACCTTCTGGGCGTCGTCAATCGGTACTCTCCCGTATCGTCTTCTTGTTCCTCCATTGCCTCTCTCTTCCCCAGCTTGGAACTTCTCAACCCAGAAAGCCACCGAGCCACGGCCTTACGAGGCGTATAACACTCGACGACTGTGCAACCATCTCCTCTCCTCCTACGCGAGCCTTCCATTGAGAAGCAAGAAGAGGAGAGAAACGAATCATGGGTTTGGAACAGGAGACGAGGTTTAAAAGGAAGAAGGTTTCGTAGAAGGAGGGACCGAGATCGGATTGACATTGATAATGGTGGGTCGGAGTCGTAACAGAGAGAGATGAACAGATGGGGAGAGGAAATAAATGAGAATCACGAGAGTTGCAGAGAGAGTGAATATGGAGGGAAACTTTGAATGTTTGAGAAATTTTTATTTCAATCATTGATTTCTTATCCTCCTTTTGTAATTTGTACAAAATAAATTTGGAAGGAAAAAAAAGTAAATGTTTTTTGAAAAAATAATAATAGATTTTAAAGGATTTTAGAATATTTTAAGGAAGTCAAGGCAATGTATTTTAAAACTGTGAAGTTATTTTTTAGTTAGTTATTTAACTTACAGTATTATCGAATTCTTCAACCCTCACATATTTATTAGAGTTTGTTTGATGAGATAATAACATAAATTTGCAAGATATGTGGTGAATAATATATTGTCGCATATGTGTTTGAAATTTTTTTTTTTTTACCGGTTTACAAATAAAGCAATTTTATAGAACAACGAGAATAAATATATCTTTTTTTTTTGAAACTTATAAATATATCTAATTGATCAATGAATTTCAGTTCATAAACATGATATACTTATTCTTGGTATTTCATTGAACTGTTTATTTGCATATAAATCCTATCTCTTATCAGGAATGTTTTAACATGCGTTTGTTTTTCAATTTTCAGCTTGTGGAAAGAATGCTACGAAAATCCTATTTCGTAAAATTTTTTAAAATTCCAAATTTAATAAATCCTATTTCGTAATTTTTAAAATTTTCAGCTTGTGGAAAGAATGTTACGAAAATGGCAGTAATTTGCGGTGAACATATAGGTGAAAGTGTTCTACTTTGGATTTTGTTTGTTTGTAATGATTATCATAAACATGTGTTTAATACAATTTCATTAGTTGACTGCAGTGGCATGAAGATAAATGTGTCGATGGAATTTGAACGAATATGTATATATAGATTCAAAACTTATATTACTACTTGTAAGTATTTGTAAGTCACTATCCATATTTCTTTCTGTAAGATCTTTAAGCACGAAAGTTTCAAAAAAAAAAGATCTTTAAGCACGAGAGTCCGATTCCACATTTTCACAAAGAATTGAAAAAAAGGGAAATTTGAGATAGCAAAAAAATTATTGGTCACCACTACTCATAATTTGTTTTTAAACATTTTTTTTTCATGGTTTCACTACTCCTATTCAAACCTCTAGATTTGAGATACTCAAACTTTCGAGATGAAAAAGACATATATATATATAGTATCTCTCTAATAATTTGCTCACCTCAAAATGCAACTTTGGAAAAAAACTAAAAGACTCGACTGACGCCGACAAAAAGAAAGAAAGTCACAACTAGCCCTAAACACGATATTAAGGATAAAAATAGACATGCAACAAACGTTAAAAATAGACGACGATCGTGCAATTTTGCTTTTTCAAATAATATTAGTCTTTCTAAAACAATATCTAGATTCCCATTGAATTATTGAAAATGTTTACACGTTAATATCTCTATCACCTCAAACCAAAACAAAAACAAATATCTCTAGTGAGTCCAAATTGATCCAATCAATGGGAACAATTTGATTGAATTTATAGTGACCCATTTCAAAATATACTGTATAATTTTAAATTCCTATGAAATAATTCCTTCGGACCACATTTTTCACGAATTGTCACACTAAAGTCTAAAACCATTAACATCAAATTCAGAAGAATCAACGTTCATCGAACTGGTTTAAGTATTAACATTGAAAATTTCTCGAATGCTTTCATGTACTTATATAATTTGTATATACACTAAAGTTTCCATCTTTTTATCTCCTAATCAAAAGAT